TACATTTTTTTTAAAGGGGTCATATGATGCGATTTTATTTTTTCCTTTCTCTTTGGAGTGTTACAAGCTCTTGGTGCATAAAGAAGATCTGTAAAGTTGCAAAGACTAAAGTCTCAAATCCAAAGAGATATTCTTTATAAAAGTTAAGAGTCAGCCACACCCCCCTAAAACGGCTCGTTCGAACACGCCCCCACATATCTACGTCACTATGTGGGAAGATTTGCATAACGCCGCCCAAATGTTCACGCAAAGAAAGAAGGCGTAACTTTTATTCTCACTGTAGTATTGTTGCCGCTGCCGCCATGTCCTGAAGACGCTGTGTGCTTCGTTGTGAAAGCGAAGCTACTTTGTTTGGTCTTCCAAAAGAGGACGATATCCGCTTCGTCATGCCTAGAGCTGATCTGTGCTGGTCGCTGAGGGAATACATCAACTTTCACCATGGACGAAGCGGAGTCCAGCCCAGGCGCACCGTTCTCGACCCTGCCGCCTCAGCTCACTCTTGCCCGGCTTCAGCTCAGGCTAAGCCGGGGCTTTCGCTCACGCTAGGCCGCTGTGTTTTTCGTTGTGAAAGCGAAACTACTTTGTTTGGTCTTCCAAAAGAGGACACGACTACAAATCAGTGGTTAAGTTGTATTTACAACACTGTTCCAGAACAGTTTAACCCAAATATCCAGATGTGTGCAGCGCATTTTATGGAGGACTGTTTACTGATCCTGGGAGAGGAACGTTAGACTAAATTGCCGGCAGTTCTGACTCACAGTCTGTAAGTACGTTTTCATTTAAAGGATTTGCCACTGATGATTCAAACGTGAGTTTTGGGCAGTGTGGATTAACGTTAGCACTTGTTGTTTGTCATTTCTCTGATCACAAATGCAGACAGGGTTTTATGTTTACGCGACGCAATGTAACGCAACGCGTAAAACGACAGTATAAGTCATTATAATCAGTAATTATGTCCCCACTGGATGCAACAAATGCCTCGTTTGTAATGGGTTTTATGTTTATGTCTCGTCGCTCCGGCCTGACACGGCATCAACAGTATGTGAGGGGCGTAACATTTCCGTCTCATGCTTGAGGTATTCGGCCAATCACAACGCATTGGATAGCTGGCCAATCAGAGCACACCTCGCTTTTTCAGACCGATGAGCTTTGTAAAAATCGACGCGTTTCAAAAAGGCGGGGCATAGAGGAGAAACAATAATGTACAGTATGTGGAAAATAATGTGTTTTTTTAACTTTAAACCGCATAAACACATTTCATTACACCAAATACACAAAATAATGTTCTTTTTAGCAGCATCATATGACCCCTTTAATATAACTCCGATTGGATTAATCTGAAAGAAGGAAGTCATATACGCCTAGGATGGCTTGAGGATGAGTAAATAATGGGCTAATTTTCATTTTTGGGTGAACTATCCCTTTAAGTAAGTGAGCTAATTATATTTTCTACACACTAGAAATAACGACAACCTTCTTCAAAAGTTCTTCACAAACAATTTGAGGATACTCTCATGATGAAACTCGCAGCACGTTCAGTAGCAGTGCGTGTACCTCTGTGATCATTGAGTAGTTGGAGCGCTGACTGCTGCTGATGTTTCTGAGCGTCAGTGTGAAAGTGTTGTGCTGAGGGTGTCCGGACACAGACACACGGGTGTGAGTGTACAACATCTCCTTGCCCGAGTTCACTCTGTGAGATCCAGACCAAATTAAAGCCTGCGAGAAACAAAACAAAATGTTACAACTGAACTGAATTAAGGTTTCTTAATATAATTGTAGTGATCTACCACAATTTTGAATCCTAATCATTTTATTCCGAATCCTAGTCCTTATATTAACTGTAGCACTTTTATTTTTATTTTTGAGGTCTTAAAGGAAATTCATCAAAAAATAACTCTTGCATACTTCAAAAAAAAAAAACAGTACTTATTACTTGAACAAAACATACTTTTTATGTGAACTAAATGTAATATTTTCAGGCACTTAACTGCATGTCATTTACAATTAAATAAACATGTATTAGTTAAAATTTATATTAAATGCAATTAACAACTGTTGGCGCAAGCTACATTAAAGTGATTATTACGTTTTGAATATGGATATTTTTCTTACAAAAACATATCGATTCACTACAGGAGGCCTTTGTCCACCCCCTATATATTAACTGTAGCACTTTTATTTTTATTTTTGAGGTCTTAAAGGAAATTCATCAAAAAATAACTCTTGCATACTTCAAAAAAAAAAAACAGTACTTATTACTTGAACAAAACATACTTTTTATGTGAACTAAATGTAATATTTTCAGGCACTTAACTGCATGTCATTTACAATTAAATAAACATGTATTAGTTAAAATTTATATTAAATGCAATTACTTGAACTAAAGAGTGTTTGACCCACTTATGTAGAACGTAGGTACATCTTTATGAACATCTTTTATCGTATGTTGTATTTAAATATATTGGTAATTACACATTTGTAATGATGAAGTTGCTGTTAGTACATAAACAATACTTCAAATAACCCAGCTGAAATTATACTCAAGTACTTTACATATGCTTTAGAAAGTCAAAATATGTGCACTTTTTAAAAGCATGACAAAAGATTATTTAAACACAATGATTTAAAATGTACATTAAAGCAAAGACGTTTAATTTGACATGATTACAAAGTGCATTTTTTAAAAGTGCACTCTTTAATTACACTTATATGTGGCCTTTTTTTAAAACATTTTTTTATTAATATTCTATTATCTGCAAGTACAGCTTTTTAAAGATATACCTGTAAGGTTTGAAATACACTAGAAATGCACGTTCAATCCAACTAAGCTAACTTTTTTAACCAGGGAAAAAATGTTATTATGTACAGACGTTCATGTCAACTCTAAAAAATAAATCTTTAAAACGCTGTGTAATGACAAGAACACTGAATTTTTGTATTTGGATGAACTCTATCTCTCTACAGTGATATGTGTGAATGTTAAAGGGGTCATGAACTGCCTTTGTTTTTTTTAAATTTTGTACTGTTCTCTGAGGTCCACTTATAATGTTATCAAGATTTTAACATAAAAAAACATCATAACATAGAAGTAATAGGCTATTTTCTGTCCTGTTTTGACCCCTCTCATCGGAACGCTGTGTTTGAATAGGCGTGGCGGATTGTCGACTCGGAAGTAAACGCCCACTGCCTTGATTGGCTAACAGTTGTGTATGTTTGACAGCCTACATCCTTCATAGATGGGCGCTGCTGTGATTTAGGTTAAAAATGTATAAATACTCTGTAAATGTCAAATAATCTGTAATAACAGAAAAAGCAATAGTGACCACATAATAAAAACAGTAACTCACACTTGTGCAGTGCGACATTACTGTCGGATCCAATTATATTTGGCACAGCATCGTCTTTTAGTTTGAATATTTCTGAAAATCCTGTGTTGAATTGTGCCTTGTTTGTAAATGAATCCGCGGTGAAATGAAGTGAACAAAGGACCAAGTTGTTACTGATGCGGTCTGGAACTTCATTAAAAATAAACTTCATCCACTCTTTCCTAATGTTGGGTTCAGAAGGAAGACTGTGTTTTTCCACAGCTTTGCACTGCACTCCGTCTTGTTGCCTTCAGAGCATCTTTATCATTTGCATAGACCTCCGTTTGCCTCTCTCGTTATTTACACTATGTACGCAAACAGGACGGGGCTAAACAGGCAGTGATGTAGAAGCAGGCGTTGATCGGGGTTTAGCCACACTATTACGTCAAAAAGTGACACATTCCACAGCCTGTCATTTTGGCAGACTGGCTTCAATATAAGATGTTTTTAGACTAACAAGAAAGTTTTGAGTTCTGAAACTTATAGGATGTTTTTATAGTACAATGACCTCTTATCTGTCAAAATATCAAGGGAAGTTTGATTTCTCAGTTCATGACCCCTTTAAGTTGTTCTATGCACATTTTTTTGTAATTTAATGAGAGCGAGTATGTGATCTCACTGGCTGTGGAGGACAGAGGCCGATCTGAACATGGTGTTCAAGACGGTCCCTCAGGTTGGTGTGTATCTGGGTCAGAAGAGAGTGAGATGAACATGGAGACGGAGAGACGTTTTGGGCCCCCAGCTCCACGAGGAGTGTGTGCATTCCTTTTACTCCTCCCTAAACAACAGACAACAAAAAGAAAGATCATCTCAGATCCCAATATCTTAAATAAAGGCATTACAACAAACAAGTTTTCAATTCCTTAAATAATCCACACCTGGTATTTCATGCTTTGTGCTATCCTCTTGTCCTTCCATTTGAGCTCTGTGTTTTGGGAGTAGGCCTTCCCCTCCTGAGCTACAGCAACACATCCCTCCATCTCCACTAGGGGAAGCAACGACTGTATCTGACAGATACACACATACAGAAAACAAAGCAGAGATATACTGTCTGGGGCACAGCATACAGTAGTTCATTTTTTATATACACTATCGTTCAAAAGTTTGAAGTCAGTATGATTAAAAAAAATACATAATACTTTTTAGCAAGGATGTATTAAATCACAGGTGACATGCATTTATCATGTTACAAATGATTTCTATTTCAAATAAATGCTGTTGTTATGAAATAATAAAAAAGGATAAAAATCTATCATGGTTTCTTCAAAAATATCATGTTTTTAAACATTGATGATGATGATGATGATGATAATAATAATAAAATATTTCTTGAGCAGCAAATGAAGGATCACGTGACACTGAAGACTGGAGTAATGATGCTGAAAATTCAGCTTTACCATCACATAAATAAATTACATTCTAAAATATATAAAAATGATTATTTTAGATTGTAATAACATTATACAATATTACTGTTTTTACTATAATTTGAATCATATAAATGCAGCCTTGGTGAGCAAAATAAACTATAATACAAACCTCTTGTATTTTTTACGGTACTGTAAGTCAGCTGGAAATTATTGCAAAATAAACCTTGACAGGGGTGCTGTGGTGTACCTGTCCTGGTGAGAGAAAGATACAGGCCTGCCCTCTGCTGGAGTCATCATGCCAGTGCTCGCTCACTGTTACAGAAACATTTACAGGCTTTCCGTGCTCCCAGGAAAGAGGGGCCTATAGAAACACAACACTTGTATTACATAGATTTCACATGTTAGATCTTAAAGGGATGGTTCACCCAAAAATGAAAATTACCCCATGATTTACTCAACCTCAAGCCATCCTAGGTGTATATAACTTTTGTCTTTCAGACAAACACAATCGGCATTATATATATAAAAAAAATATCCTGGCTCTTCCGAGTTTTATAATGATAAAGATTTTGAAGCAAAATAAAGTGCATCCATCCATCATAAAAAAGTACTCCACACGGCTCCGGGGGGTTAATAAAGGACTTCTGAAGTGAAAAATCTCCATATTTAAAACTTTATAGAGTTTTAAAGATTACAGTTTATAAAGTTTTAAAAATGCATTTTTTCTTACACAAATGCATTGCTTCATTTCAGAAGGCCTTTATTAACCGGATTTAATGTAACCCAGAGTCGTGTGGAGTACTTTTTATAATGTATGTGTAACCCCTCTCCCCCGGGTCCTCTCCGCCACACCTCGTTCTCGTTCCGAGTGGGTCTCGAACCCGGGTCTCCGGCATGGAAGGCGGACGCACTAACAAGGAGGCTAAAGACTGCAGCCTCTAGCGTCAGTCGCTAGTGCGTCTCTTGAGATCAGGGGAGTGAGGTTTACCTGCACAGCACCTACTCGCTGGCCTCCGTTACACTCACCCCCCTAAATCTCACTCACATCCGGGTCACGGCACCAATGTAACCCCTCTCCCCCGGCTCCTCTCCGCCACCCCTCGATCAGGGGAGTGAGGTTTACCTGCACAGCACCTACTCGCTGGCCTCCGTTACACTCACCCCCCTAAATCTCACTCACATCCGGGTCACGGCACCAATGTAACCCCTCTCCCCCGGCTCCTCTCCGCCACACCTCGTTCTCGTTCCGAGTGGGTCTCGAACCCGGGTCTCCGGCATGGAAGGCGGACGCACTAACAAGGAGGCTAAACCTGCACAGCACCTACCGCTGGCAAAATCTGGACCCCCATTCACTGCCATTATAAAGCTTGGAAGAGCCAGGACATTTTTTAATATAACTCCGACTGTAATCGTCTGAAAGAAGAAAGGCATCTAGGATGGCTTGAGGGTGAGTAAATCATGGGGTAATTTTCATTTTTGGGTGAACTATCCCTTTAACAATTATGAGAAAGGAAGTGCAGCCTAGAGAGTGTGGCAAGTATTTGAAAATGGAGAGATGCATTAGAAATGGGATTTGTATGGAGGGAAAGTACTTGAGAAACAGAAGAGTATTTGAGAGTATTGGGAATATTTGCTTTGAAAGTGTGGCGATTATTTGAGGTTATAGAGATTGTTTGAGAATGGCAGCTGTGCACCTGGTTGTTGCTGTCGTGCCTGTGGTCGGGTCCGTGTGATAGGGCATGTATGTAAAAGTGAGCCAGTGTTGAGATAAAGGGTTGTTTCTGTTCGAATGAATCTGTTTTTCCGCTCACCAAAGTCCAAGAACCTTGAACTCTGACCTGAACACAACACACAAGAGACTTATATCTGGTCAATGTAACAACAAAGGACCAAACCACAACAGAACCGCCAAAAACCTCTGTCTGGCTTCACCTGATCATGGCGTCCATACAGAGTCCAGTCGACACTCAGATCACCTAGCTTCCTCTGAGTGTCATTCTCTACCCTAAGATCAAAACCCCAACCCTGAGTCTTTCCTATAATAAGAGAGACATGTGAGCATTTCAGAATACAGTGTTCATGATAATACAACTGACGCAGTGTGTGACCAGATCAGCAATGTGGCATATCCACCTGACAGTTCTGGATAACTTTGTAACTGTGTGACACCATCTGATGAGTCGGTTAAATCCTGATTCTCCCACTGTGCTCGATGCGTGAGAGTGTGTGACCCTCTCTTTCCACCGTAGCGTGTCCTCAATGCCAGATTCCTGGGCAACAAGTGTAGCTAGTGGAACAGAAATAACACATTATTCAAAATGTAATGTAACACAACAAAAAGTATCATGCTTCATGTAATGTTAAGGTGCGGTCACATTAGCAAAACTTGGGGAGAGAAGGTCAATTGTCCATTATCAGCAGTGCAGTGATGCATGAGGCACCACTTATTCAGGTGGTCACTTCCAAGCAGCTTTGGTCAACACGCAAAATTGCATGTTTAACAAAATGGGAAAATTTCTCACCTCACATGAAATTCCATATTGCACAGATTTAAATTGAGATGACTGCATTTTGCTTGCAAAATTTTACAGTACAAAGGTAAATATGACTGCACCCATAAGTTGCGATCAAATTAACAGTGCTGTGTAGATTACTTACAAATTGTAGTCCGTTACTGATTCCAAATTACATGACACAAATTGTAGTCAGTAACATAATACATTACGTTGTACATTTTAGGTAATATAATTGGACTACTTATTTTAGATTACTTTTGACCTAACTCTAAAGAAAGAAAATCTATTCTATTCATTGTTATTAACAACATGAAGTGCATTAAACATTACATTATGTCAAGGTTTCCCACACTGGGGTTTGTGAAGGAACTGCAGAGGGTAAAGGTTTTTTTCTTTTTTTTAAATGAAAAGCTAATAAATGAAATAATAAAAAATGTAAAATTAAAATAAATAATTTTATCATTAAAATAAACACTCACTAAAAAAGGTTAAATATTTTATGTGTTTACCTGCATGTCATGTGGCCATAAACTAATATCAGAGAACCATGAACATGCAAATGTGTTAATTAGTTATTAACTTGTTACCTTAAAATCTCAGGAGGTATTTTAATATATATATATATA